TAGCAGTAGTGATTTGTGTTATACCTTAGTTACTAAACTGTTCTTATCTCAACCCGTGGGAGTTGCATTCTTTTCGATTCTCCTCTCCGTCCCTCCGGGAGCAGGGGGAGGGCAAGAAAGGGGGGGAAGTGAGTGAACGAATTACCTGACTGGGTTTAAACCACGACAGCATGGCATGCATGCCTGAATCTTTCTACTGCTCTAATTTGGTGCTGTCTGAAAGCTTACTTTGGTGGTATTGTGTCCTGGAACGACACAGAACTAGAACTAGTGGAACGTCAGAGAACTTCTAAAACCAGCTTAACCAAATAAAATCAGCTGACCTGTGGAGATGTGAAATGCACATTTAGAAACACTCAGAGCTGAAATGTAGGTGAGACTAAGTAGAGGAATGCCAAGCTTATATGATCATCTAGCAACAGCATAAATATCACCAGTAAGGACATTTATAAATAACAATATTTTTAAGTTACTCTGAATTTCTAAACCTCTTAAAATGTTAACTCAGTACTCCTAGACTCACTAAATATTGTTAATCTTATTTTTACTGCTGGGGAAACTGAGGCAGGGAGGTTCAGTGACTTACCCAAGGCCACAGAGGGCGTCACTGTCAGAGCCGGGATTAGAGCTCAGGAGTTTCTGGCTCCCAGTCCCAAGCTCAGACCACTAGACCATGGCCTCAGGACATTTCCAGCTGGTCTTCAGTCTAAAAAAAAGTAAATTCTCAAGTATGTTACAAATATGTAACATATATATATATATTTCTTTTTTACTTTGAATGTAATGGGATGAGTGAGAACACGTTGCCTGTAAATGATGAAAGCAAACCACTACTTTTTATCTGAGTTACCTTTATCACACATACATGTATGATAAAGCTCTGCAGAAAAATCTTGATTTAAATTACAGCCAATAAAAAAAGCTATTGTATTTTTCAGGGTAAAGAAGAAATTGCCTTGCCAATCCAGCCACCATGTCATTTATATTAATGGTGAAGAATGCTAAGTTGCTCTGTGTCTAAGTAAACTCTATTATGAAAGTCACATCCCTTGGTGAAGCTAGATCCTTAATAAATTTCACTAGCTAAGCACTGAGCTCCATGTCAGAGTAATTACGCCTTTTATCCACTGTGAGCTTCTCAGCTTCTTCATACTCCTTAATTTCCCACTTCAGCTAATTTAGCAGTAAAATCGCAAAGGTTTTAAAAGGTTAGCTACCGAGGAACTGGCACATGAATGTTCGGTTTAGCTCCATGCATTGAAATCACATCATGTAGAAGAAGGAATTAATTAAGTAACAATTAGGTAGTGATGGATCATTGACAACATATATACACTTTGGTGCTAAAATTAATCTCCCCTGTAAATCCAATACATTATGTATATTCCCATCTATATGCTGGCAAGTATTATACCTGAAATATAAAATGGACAGGCCCTTCAGCAATATCTTAAGAAAAAAAAAAAAAAGAAGGCATATCTGCTGTCACTATTGAACCTACATACTATTTTTAAAAATCATATAACTTTTTTTAAAGAATTGAAAGAGCAATATGAACTGCAGAAGAAGAAATTTTTAAGGCGGGTGATTTTAAAGTGACTGTAGAGACATTTGCTATACGGAGGTACTTAGTCTGTTGAAAGTGCTAACAATTGTGTCATATTCTCTTGCTATCCTCTTTTACAAGGTGCCATACTGTTTCCTTGAATCGACAGTCAGCTGCTTAATACATAGGTTGGCAGTTAGCCTGGTCAGTCCTCAATTCTAAAAGCCTCTTAGCAGATGAAAAATCTTTGGTTCATTCACACCTTGTAGAAAGGATGACAGGGCAGAAGTGACATCCAGATCCATTTAGAGTATACTTTGAGCCTGATTTTCCTTTGCCTTGCACCTTGTGTAGTCATTTATAGCTGTGCAAAGTGAACACAAAATGAATATAAACCACTGCTACCCACATGAGGGGATAATTCTGATTTAGTTTCATTATTTCCAGAGGTGATAATAAAAAGTGACAGGCAGTGAAAAAAACCTGTCTCTGTGTAGAAAGTCTGCACAATTTTGACACACAGCATAACATAGCAGCAATGCTCCCTATTTACAGAAATTGTACTTTTGCTTTGGATCTATGGGTATTTTCATTCACTGTTTGCTTGTTTTTTTCATAGAAAACATGCTGAATATTAAACTTGTCTACAGAAAAGGAATCATATTTCTTCCCTTTTTTGGGGGTAGACGCATATATAAGTGTGAGTCCTAAAGTATATTCTCATGTGAAAAGGAACTCATGTTCTGCGTAAGACCTCCACCAGTCCTACCTTGCCATGTGCTACTTGTAAATACACTACTTAAAAAGTTACGATTCTACACAACCTCCTGGAATCAGTGTGAAAGCTGGTATTACCACAACAGCTGGTCTTAGTCCATCAGAGTTCAATACTGCTCTGGCTTTAGTAAGTGTGGCAAGTTATTGTCTCAGCATTTACCAACCAGCAATATCTCTGCTATATGATCTATCGCCACTTGATAATGCAAGACCTGCTGCTAAGTATCTTTAAGATATAAGCTAATGTTAGCAGGAAAGGCCTGCAAATATTAGATTAACAACGTGTGCTAATGAAATTGCTAGTTAAAACATTAAGGACCTAATCTAGCTGTTACTGGAGATGTGGTCAAGAATTATTTCTACTTCATAACAGACATTTCATATATAATAATTAATATGATATGTTTGGACATTTATTTCGCTGTACTACCACTGGCCATTTTCTTGGACCTTCCCAGCAGGGAATTCTTCCTGTTGCACTTAGATGCCATGATGGGCTTGGCAACTCAGGTGTGATGATTAAGAGCAGAAATAGAAATTACTTGATTGCATCAGCAGCTGCTGACCTAAGAGTACTGATACAGTAAGCATGTGTCTTGGTGTTTCTGTTAGAAAAATTCTTTTCTTTTAATCACAGTCATACACTTTATAGAGTCATCTTAAGACGTAGTTCCCAAACCTATTAATTACCATTGTCCAAAGCTTACTCTTCAATGAAGTGGCTAAAGAACAAATGAACATATACTTTTTATTCTTAATATTTCAGTAATTGGGGTTTCTTAGGTTCCTTTTTTTTTAACATTTTCCCCCCTCCCCCCCTTCTCGTTCTGCATTCAGTGCTTCTTTAAGTATTCTGAGATGCTAGTCTGGCTTGACTGAAAAGTACTGTGTGTTTGTTGTGTGTCTGCATGTGTAATACCAACTGTTGAAGACTGCTTGATGTAGATGTGGGCTTATGCTCAGAGCTGTTCTACAGTTGGCTCTCTGGCAGAATCTCTCCTTACCAATGACAATGATATCTCTGTGTGGGGGAGAGTCTGTTTTACAATATTACACTTGCCATGGCCTTAATTTTACTGATGGGGCATGATTTCATTTATGTTAATCAAATTTATGAGTCACTCCATTCATGTCAGTAGCATTAAAGAGCTATGCAGACAAGTGAGAGTTCAGAATCAGATATCCAATGAAAGGATATCTGAATCACTCCATTAAAGATAGATACTGAAGATCTCTGCCTTCTTTGCATTACTCAGTCATGCTATTAGCACAAAACATCAAATAAAGAACTACAATGACAGCTGGCAATGTGTCACAGTACATTGGTTTTCTGTTTACCTTGGGTGTAGAAAATACCTCTGAATTAAAGAGATTTAGGATAATATTTCAAGTATGACAAAGTTACTGTATTAGGTCTCCTTGCCCTTGGAAGTTTGCATTAATGTTTCAAAAACTTATTTCCTTCCTTTTTTTTTTATGCCACTCTTACATAACTTGAATGCAAAAGATCTACAGGCAAACAATGTTTAGTAAGACCTCAGAGACTGCGTTAAGTTTTATAGCCCTGTCCATAAAGAATATTATGTCTGGTAAATACAGGAGCATCAAAACAGTGGTCACAATTCATAAAGTTTGTTTTGTAGGTGTCTCATAAAGCACTATCAAATCTTCATTCATTTCTTAAAAGTGAAAAACATGTTAATTTTCCAAAATATAGGCATTCTAAAACAATAAAAGGTTTTGTACTGGTGTCTGTCTCCTGATTAGACAGAGAAATTGTGCAGGGGATGATGGGCCTTAATTTACTCCTCACTGGTAAGTACTTTTAAACCTAAATACTCTTTAAATTGCACTCATTTAAATTACACTCAAGCTCCATGTAAATCTAAAAAAAAACCCAAAAAACAAAAACGGGAAAAAATCATTCAAGCGTCTAGAAAAATATCAGAAAATTGCTCCATTATACTTCTGCAGATTTGTTTCCATTTTTAAGTCAAAGTGTTGTTGGCATTTGAGAACATTTTCTAGAAATCTGTTTGATATATTACAGGCCCTAGAAACTATTACTGTCATATATATTCTTAGCTACACTAAAAGCACATGCCCCAAGACACCAAATCAGAGAGTTGAGGGGTTTATCAACAAACCAGGACCAAAAGGAAGATGAAAAAATGGATCTCTTCACATGTTTTCTGTGTCTCACTGACTCTCTCACTGAAAACTAAAGATCTGCTTGTGCATCTTGCTTTTCTAGTACAGTCAGAATAGCAAAAATACTTTCTCTCCAATTCCCATTGAAAGCTTTCTTTTCACCCTTCTAGACCATGTGTTCAGTTTTATACCCTACGCTTTCTCAGCATAAGAAAATTCTTGTATAGCAAAGCAATAAGGCTCTGTCTTCAGGCTGAATACAAATACTAGTTAAATCACTGGCACCTTTTAAGAAAACCTTGATATAATTTTCACCCTTAGTAACTGTGGGAATTACACATTTTTCTTGCCTTTGAGATAACACTGTTGTGTATTTCAGTATGCACAGTTGGGTACATAGCTTAATTATAAGGCAACAGACTTTACCTATCTGTGCCAAAAAACAATTAGAAATCTCACTCCTTGTTTTTCAGTAAACTAAAGTGAATGAGAAACTGAAGAAATATAGAACAGAGAAGTAACCTACCGTGGTTGTCTTTATCCGTCCTCCTGGTTGTGTACAGGTCCAGCCTGATTTATTGATTAGCAAATCACAGCCTTCTCCTTCTAAACATGGAAGCATTTCACACCACTGTTTTGTTTTGATAATTCGTGCTATGGAACAGAAAAGAAAAAAAAACAAACAAACACAACCAAAAACAATTGGCAAGAGAATTCATATTTCACTTATCTCTAAACACTTTTTCATTTGCCTTGTCTATTTTCATCATCTGATAATGCAGCCACAGGTTATGATGTAGACAGCCCTAGGCAATTTAAAAAAAATATTCATAATACCTGCTGTGCCAACAAATTTCATAATACAAATAGAACTTAAAACCCAACAATAGCCCAAAGGAGAGTTGTAAATCAAAAGAACAGAAAAGTTAGCTAATTTTCTAATTCCATGCTCCTTACAGTCAAGGAAATATTGTCGGGGTGGCTAACAACTTAATCCTTTGTGTTCGACTATACACCTGGGCAGACACTCCTTCTCCCAAAGTGCTTGCAGTGTAACTAGACATGAGACCCACAGTGGAGAGATTAAAAATATAATAAACAGTTAGAGGTGGTCAACAAAATGACAAGAATTGCGGAACTCTGTGATACTTGCAATGGTAGTGAACAGAAAGGGGCAAGAACTAGGAACATAACAAGGACTGGTGTAAATGAAGTAAAGGTTGGGAAATCATGAGGTAGCAGACAAGGAGCAGAGGGGAAAGACTGGTACAAATACCCTTTTATCCTATAACTGCAATGGAAAGGAAGTACAGTCAGGAAGGTCCCTAATTGTCTGATAGGTAGTTTGTTGTGTGTTTTGTGGTTCCTCTTAATGCTTGCGCCTCTGGTAAGCTGGGTCTGCAAAATTTCCCCAAGGTCACACACTGGCACTCTTGGCACAACAGAGCTCTGACTGCATTAAAGTAGATGCAGATGAGCTGTAGGGAGATCGTTTCTTCAAGGCAGGGAGAAAGAGGGCTTTAATTCCTGTAGACTTCTTTATGGATTATACTTCTTTTGAGTTCACCTCTGTAATATCTGGTATTCTTCTCATAGAATACTAAGCAATAGGACTAATAATTCATTACTCTTTCGCTCTCACCCTGTAGGCAAAATTGTAGTATGAGGTGTTTGGGATATTATAAAGTACATATACAGAGAAGCGTTCACTTGTATGGTGCCATATATTCATGCTAAACAAGGTAAGGTCCCCCAAACAATTCATCTTCTGTTCAGTTGGTAAGTTGCTGTCCACACAAAATGATACTCAGTTCTTTCAGAGATCACGTCAGCAATCCTGGGCTAGACTATGAGAAATCTTCACCACCTCAATTTGTATGTACGTATCCTAGGGTTAAAGGGCAGAACAAGTTCCACAGATGGGAACACAGATTGTCTTCTTCTGTGTTGATGCTTGACACCAATACATGCAGTGTATCTTCAACCTCCATGAGCCCAACAAAAAGAAAACTACAGGAGAAACACTTAGCAACATAAGCGTATGAGAAGCTTATTATGCTCCAAATTAACTTCGGGTCCACAGAGCTTAAAAGCAGGTATTTATAGCCACTGGCAGTTGCAGCTCTTTATTCTCACCTGAACGTGTGATTCAGACTCCCTATGTCCCCGACTTCCTCTGTCTAGAACTGGCATAGGAATACAATTCCCAATGCCACCAGTTCATGGCAAGAAATAGAAGTGTAATTTAGTCTTTTAATAAAATCCTTTGCAATATTTTGACATGAAACAACCTGTGTCCTCAGTCCTGATACAATTGTTGGTAAGCTCCAGGAATTTAACAAACACTGATTTCTTCCAGTGGAAGCTCAGTCTAAAATTCCTATGAAGGTTTTCAATATAAAAAGCACCTTAGCTCCCAGATGTCAACATAGGAATTTGCACTGTTCATTAGTCAAGATATCTGTATATATATCTCACTGGAGGAATGATTCCCAGACAATTTTCATAGCTACAATTTTTTTAAGCAAACCCACTAAGCTTTTATAGCACATAATATACAGAAATCTGGAATTTGCTTGGGGTCCGTAGGTACTCCTCTACAGAGAAATGGATCATATCAGGTTTTGAGACTAACATCTCATTTGTAACAGGTAATAGCCTCATCCCTTCTGAGTGAAGGCATGCATCCAGTTGCAGGTTTTACAGAAAAAAGCTCAGTAAAAATGTCAACATGAAGCCTCATCCATTTGCAGGTGCATATTTTGCAATTCACAGATCAAAATGGCTACTTCTAGCAATGTTTCAACAATGTGAAGGATCACTGAAAGACTGAACAGTTGGTTAAAACAAAAAATATGTGCTAGATTGCCTTTACTATCTCAGGTGGGAGGTTTTCCTGGAAACATAATTTGAACTAATCTTTACAAAAATATTTCCCTCCTCTGTGAATTACTCAGTGTTTGCTTGGTTGTTACCTCAGAATGCAGCTGTTGGAAATATTACAAATATATGGAGTCTGAGCTCTGGGTATTGGGGATATGCACACAAATTTAGAACATATCAAAAGTATTTTACAGGAGATGAAGTCTAAAACATTTCTGCGCTAAGTGTATAGACTACCTCATGCATTTAGGCCTTGAGAATTGGAACAACTACTTCTGGGGGGGGGAAACTACTCAGCCCACATGGCTTAAAGCAAATCAGTATTAAAATGGTTTATTAATTTATTAATGACACATAACCAGCAGCAGTGCAGGATTGATATCAGTAACACAAAACAGACCCCCCTTCCCCTTCCCTCCCTTGCCACAAATCTTCACAGTTGTTTTATCCAGCTCTTTCTCTTGGCCCTGCTTTGTCTTACAAGCTGTACAAACACACAGACTCTTGAATCCCTGCCTCCTCAGGCCCTGCTTTCCAAACCATTTGCCACAAGCAGGCCAGGCAGGCACCCTCACACTAGGGTATGAGCTGTCTATCCAGTCACTGTTCAGACACCCGTGGGTAGTTACAGTTGCAAAACGGGGGGCCGTGCTCATGTAGATGGGATTACATCTATTTTTGCATTTTCACTTTTCAGTTTGTCCATTACAGCAGAGTAGCACAGTGAAGCTAAATATATAACATAGGGAGCGAGCAAAGTATACAATGGTTTTATCAGCATAGTATCAAAGAATTTCTATCAGCAATTGAAACTGAGTTACACTAGCCAAAGCAAAGGAATACACTGTATTTCCTGAGGCGGTACACTTGCTTTTTTACTGTTTATATTCACCAGACGAGACAGCAAAAAGCCTATCAGATTCTTCAAATCCACTCCAAGCTCCATTATAAAGAATTAAGTGGCACTTAAACGATACATAGGCTTTGTGCAGACCTTCTGCAAAGAACTGAATTTCATCTTAAGAATCTGAGCTGACACTACTTTGCATCTTCTAAGAAGGGCTGTGCCCCTTCACTTGAACTGAAGTTAACAGGAACTGACAGTGCTCAGCACAAGGTAGAATTGCTTTCATTGGTAATACCATCTGAACTGGAGAACAACTGGAGTCTGTCCAAGGGTTTTTCATACAAACAGATCTGAGGTGTTGCAGGCAAGCAGAGGTTATACGAGCATGACACCAAGCTACCCACCAGTGTTCTCCGCTTTTTTGCAAGACTGAGAAATTTGCAATGGACTTCAAATTATTAGTAAAATAAATATATAGAAGTCTGTGTTTCTGATCAGCACAGCCCAGCTTAAGACTGTTCAACTTATTAGTGTTTCAGAACACCATACATTATTTTCTGTTAAATACTGCAACTAGAAATGTTTTGTCACTAAACTTCTTACCTGGTTTAACATTGTACATATACTTTCCTATGGAAAAACCGCTTTATTTTCTGTGCTTTCTTTCCTCACATTCACTCTACACTCAGGCAGTTATCAATTACAACATCTCCAGTTAATCTCATATCTGAAAATCAAAAGTTTTTTTGTGATAGTAAAAAAGTGAGATAAATCTTGTTCTGCTGCAGTACATGCAAAAACTTACAGCCATCTAAAATATGTTTGATTAAAACACTCAAATAGTTACAGCTTGTTTTCTCATATTTTTTCAAATGTTGGAGAATGAAACTGGAAATAAAAGAATGTATTTTTTTTCATCAAACAAGAATATTGATTAAACCAGCATTTGGATACTGAGACTTATGATTTCAGAATACATTGTGATCATATGTGTCAAAAGTGGTATGTGAAATTAATATTTACAAATCATCACGAGAACCACGATACAAGAATGTAAAAAAAGTTGGCTTAGTTAATGTTTATCATTCAATTCCAGATCCCTGAAGTAGTGAATGGATGATTCTTTGCAGGAGGGAGTAGAAAAATTTTTTCCTAAGCCCAAGCAGAATATTCCATTTTGAAACATGCTTCTTAAATGAGAGTTTAGCTCTCCCATACTTCTTACAGAATGATGTTCTCCTTCACTTTGGGGTTTGGTTTTTTTTTATAAGGATAAATTGTAGCCCTTAATGAAGGACATAGAGTATGACTTGGAAAAAAATAATTCCTTTTTGATTTTCATATTCTTTTCACTGATGTTTTCCTTCAACTTTGAGGAAAGCTGATCAGCATAGCCTGTAAAATGCCTTTGTATTCACCAGTTTAGATGTAGCTAGACAAAGCCTTTTATCCTACTGTTCCAATTTTGCCCTATTAACTCTGAAGAGGATCCACGTATTTTATAATTAATGACCTCCAACTGATCCCAACTGTTTCGACCATCCCACTCCTCTCCCAGCCTCCCTGTTCTCTTTACCTCACATTTTTCTTTTTTCTTTTTTCCAGTTTGTTCAGCTGTAGCCTTTTGCTCCAAGCATTTTTCTCCTCTGCCTGATTCAGTACATACATACTATCTACCTATCAAAGATCCCAGAACACTCTGCAGAACTTAACTTACTACATTTATGCAGTTTTATCTATGACTGGTAAGTGCTGTTTACTATCTCCATTTTTCAGAGGCTAATCAACTTGACCAAGGGCACACAAGAAATATGTTGGAGAGCTGGAAACAAATACCTATGAATTCTTAGTGGTCACTAGACTGGAGATTTTCTCTGTCCCATTTTCCTGCATTACAGCATGCTTTAATACATATATATAAGAA